ATGTCTGGTAAAGGAAAGTGAGTGAGTTGTATGGCATACAAGTAAGCATACATCTTCTTCTCAGCTTTCTCCATTGCTATATGGGGTCGCTGTTATGGATGAACCGCTCTATTGTGTGTGTGTGTGTGTGTGTTTGTGTGTGTGTGTATGCGTGTGTATGTGTATGTGTACGTGTGTGTGTGTGTGTGTGTGTGTGGACTAACGTTAAAATGAGAACAGCTTAGTTCTCGTAAGGGACTGGTGTGTGTGTGTGTGTTTGTGTTTAGATGTAAAAATGAGAACAGCTTAATACTCATAAGGGATTGTAGCATTTCGAGTCAGAAAAAAAAGATTAACTTCATTCTTACCGTCTGAAGAGGAAGCAAGTTATACTCGAAACGGCGAGGTTCATATTTGCTGATCTGTGTGGTTGTGTTTTCAGATCATTCACGTACGCATGTTATTGTATATATATTCATAAATACCTACAATCGGTTATTCATGTATATATAAAAAAAAAAAAAAATGCTGCATAAACTACTGCAACTATTTCTAGTCATCCCGCCCAAATTAGAATTACTACTGCACATATTTCTAGTCATTCCTCCCAGAAAAAAAAAATTCAGAACACAGCCGTTAAAGAAGGAAATAAAAAAGTATATACAGATAAAGATATACCAAACATAGGGTGTTTATCTGCTTATATTTCTGTTTGCATGTCCTAGCATAATCGCTGTACAAATTCCCGAAATCTTACCCACAGACCTATATCTATAGACTAATTGGTCGTATTCAGCGTCTGTGACCCTTACATGACCCGGAACAAACTGCTGTCAACCTAACATGACCTCTGGAGCCACATGAACCTTAGGTGCTGTAATAATTAGAGCTTAAATCCAGTTACGTATAGAGTACATTGGCTCTTCATGCAATATTTCACTCAGCTGTTCAATGAAACGAGGAGATAGAGAGAAAATCATAAATAGAGAAAAGGCGAGAGAGGGAAAAAGGGTGGGAGGAAAGGAGAGAGGGAAGGAAGGCAAGGTAGATAGAGAGGAGGGTGTGATAGAGACACGAAGGCAGGAAGCAATAGAGTAAGAAAGAGAGGTTGGGGGGGGGGGGGGAACGCGAGAGCGAGAGGCAGGGAGAAAGATAGAGAGAGCAGCGGGTTTAGAGAGAGTGAGTGTATATAGATAGATAGACTGATACACAGATACATATGGATACACACGCACATACACACACACACAAATACACACACACACGCATAGATAGATAGATAGATGAATAGATATAGATGTGTGTGTGTGTGTGTGTGCATGAGAGAGAGAGAGAGTAAATAGGAATTGTTATATAGAGCGACGGAAAGAGTGAAAGAGGGAAAAGAAGGAGAGGGAGGAACGGACGAACGGAGGAGAGAAAAAACAATGAAAAATAAGCAGGAAATGGGGAAAAAGGAGGAAGAAAGAAAGTGAGGAAGACGAAGGAAGAAAGTGAAAGAAAAATAAGAGAGAGATAAAAGATAAAGAAAAATAAATGTAACTCAAATTAAACAGTCGAAATGCAGAACGCTCTCTTTCAACAAGTGCAAATGCAACACATACTAAATATCAACAATTCCAAAATAGAAACCCAACTATCTGCATCATAAAATAACGAGAGAAATAAAAACTGAAATACAAAGCAAATAAAAAGCTTCATAAAATTCATACAAAATGCTCCAGAATACCCGCGCGCTAAAAAAAAAAAAAATAATAATAATGAATAAATAGAAAAAAAAGAATTAAAAAGTAATAGTAATAAACAATAAGAAAAAAATTATTACACCCACTTTTGATAGCCATTTTCCTCGTCTGATGATAAAACAAAAACATGTATATCAATAAACGAAGTAAAATGACACCCACGAGACAAAAATAGTATCAAACGAGCAGAACGCATTTTGGCGCCATTTGCATGCGTAACAGCTTAACTTTTTTCATTCTTTTTTTTTCTTTTATTTTGCAATTAATATTTTTTTTCTTTGCAGTTTTATTGGCGTGCGAGTGTGATTTTATGATTGTATATATATATATATATATATATATATATATATATATATATATATATATATATTATATATATATATATATATATATATATATATATATATATTATTTTTTGAGAGGGGGTGGGGGATGGAGGGGCTATGAGAGTGGGGGGGGGGGGGGGGGGGATTACTTATATCTGTGTTACCGTGTAATGTATATGTGTCATTTATTAGGTCCGTAAATGGGGTAATTTTAGGGAGGGGAGGGTCGGTTGGGGGAGGAGTGAGTAGGGGGGGGAAAGAGAGAGGGAGGGAGGAGAATGAGGAAAGGGGGCAAAGGGTTAAGGGAGGGAGGGGAGGAGGAGAGTCGATAAGGGGAGGAGTGGGTAGGTGGGGAAGGGAGGGAGGGGGGAGGAGGAGTAAGAGGGGAGTGGGAGTGGGAAAAGGGGTAAGAGGGGTAAAGAGGGGGAGGAGGAGAGTCAGTGAGGGGAG